TTTTATTATTATTATATTATTATATTTATAATAAATTTTGAATTACATTTTACCGTTACTCACATAACTTTTTATTATTATTATATTATATTACTATTATATTAAAATTTTGAAATAAATGAATTTAGAAAATTTTCTTACTTAATTACTTTTAATCTCCACCTTCCATTATTCCTAACACAATCCAATGGTCAATATTCAATCCTACATTTTGCCACTTTTCTCCTCTATATAAACTCATCTTCCCCACATTTTTAATAGATATACAACTTACATACATTCTTCAATCCTCATTTGTTCAAAGTCTCCATTGTTTATTGCTCTCTCCAAGCTTACAAGTTTATTTCTTTTCATCTTATTCTTGAGAGGGATTATTATTATATTGTGAGGAAATAGTTGTCAGTATCCCAAATTGTAAATCTACTCTTTGAGAGAGTTGTGGTGTGTTATTGTCAAACTCAAATACTTGTATCGGTTTGATCCTGCGTCGTTGAAAGGATTGAGTTTGCTCTTGAACTCGTAAAAAGAGCGGTGTACCGGTTTGGCTCTGATCCGTGGAAAGAGTCGGAAAAGTTCTTTATTCAAATTCCCAAGAGGCGCTTGGGGAGTGGAGTAGGTCGAGTTTGACCGAACCACTATAAAACTACGGTGTCATTTTCTCTAACTCTTTCCTATTTAATTTCAAGATTATTATTATGTTTATTGCATGTTCTACTTGATTATTGTTTTGACTTGAATTATTTTGCTTTAGTAATTATCATCTTCTACTTATTTGTAAAAAGTTTTATCATTAGAAAAATTAATCAAGTTTAAACACTTTTATCGTTAAAACCCTATTCACCCCCCCTCTAGGGTTGCCATACCGATCCAACACGACTAATGGCGGCATCTTAACCTAGGAGACAGTGACACATGCTTGGGTAGTTTGCAAATTTGAATTTAATATACTATAAGTTAGTATAGATTAGTATAGGTTAGTTTGCATTTCCATTTAGTAGCATATGGTTAGTATAGGACGTGATATACTTTATATTATTTTTCATGTTTATTATTTTTATTTAAAGACCAAAGTTTATGTTTTTATAATAAAGTTTTGAATGAAGTATTTTCGCATGATATGTATATAGTAGCAACTTTAGGTTAAATATAAATCTAGAGTCGTTACCTAAAAAATATTTCATAACAATCCTAAAATGTTCCTAAAGAAATCAACATAAAAAATAAGCTTCGAGACCCTTCTCCTAGTAATGAAAAACATGATGAATGTAGAAACTATCTTAAAGAGCTTCATTCCATAGCCCGTAGAATCCATCAACCGTGCATATGTCTAGTAGCTTTATTTGAAAAATTATTGTGGATAGAAGAATTATTTAAAAAATAATCAGTAAGTGATCTTAGTATTGCGATCCATAAATACACTTGTGTTTTATGTCTAGTGGAACCTAAAATCAACCAACGCACATGCATGTAGGTCTATTAAGTAAATACCGTTCTTGGAAACTCTAGGCTTGCACACATTCATGCAAGTACAACCAAAGGAAAAAACTAGAACATGAAATAACATATCATAGGTCATGTAACGAACATACTTTCCCACTCAAAATAAGATTGCAAGTACATGCATGACCTAACTACTAAAAAAAGAAATCCTTAAAAAATGATTTACTAAAATGTTGTTCATAAAATTATTAAATCAACAATGATATCTACAAACAATGAAATTGAAATAACAAGAATTTAAAAATAATGGAAATGCCTTGATCTAGCCTAAGGACTACAACATTAAAGGCAAATGAGACTACCCTGACATCATTTACCTTTACCTAAAAAAGAAGTAGCATGCGGCTTGAGTAATTAAAGTACTTAGTAAGTAACTCTATTGTTGGGGTCGGAAAATGCAATCACATGCAATTAGTGGAACCTATCTTTTCATAAAACATTATGGATTAGTACAGGCATGGTTAGATGTGTAATAATTCTCTACACACGGCTCACGTACACACACATGGACCCATTAGATAGACTTGTATACGTACCCTAGGCCTGACTATGGACTAGCTAAGCTCACGCTACCGAAAGTCACAGAGAGAAAGAAGCATGCCCAATATCATGGCGTACCTAATATCGTGGTGTATGTGTCCCTAATAATCATACCGGGAAGTATTCCGATGCACATGACATATAAATGTATGAGGTCCCTTAATTTCAAGTCATGGTATATACTCATGATGCAAATCATACCTCCATTCTTTTCATTACATAGCATTCCTATGAGATATGACATATGTACACGGGATATATCTTTCATGGTTAACATACATGACTTATTAATATCTCATAGGCATAGTGTGTACATTCTTACATAATAGATGTGACATACCATAGGGAGGTTCATGTATCATATAACATTCATATCACAACGTAGTATAATCATATGATAGTATAATTCATATCATAGTATAATTCATATCATAGCAGAAATCGTCACATAACATATCACGCATTATACACTATAACATCACAAAATATGACATATACGGGGGCCACAAGGTACGTGTCATTCATACGACATTTAATTCCTCTAATCAAGCTCGTGCGTGTTCAATAGTAGAACCACTTACTAAGTTGCCCTAGGTCGCATGGGTGCTAGCCAGATTCTACTCTTTAAATTTCAGTTCCACATAAGGAGTTGCATGTTACAACATGTTAACTAATTTAATTCACCTAAGGACATCAATTAACCTACAACATGTTAACTAATTTTCTTCCTCTCGCGTGCAAGCATGGGCTCACCACCGGGCGTGCACACCCATGGGCTTGACTCGTCAGGCTAGCACTCTAACAGACTCTTGTCGAACACCACAAAAGGAAAGGACAAACATAACATCATGACGAACATAAGTGTTGAAAATCATAAGTCATATCATATGCGTTCGTACTCATCATATTGGGGAAGTATTGCGATGCATATGTGATAACTCTTTAAAAGTAGAGTCATATCAAGTCTTTTCATGACACTCTTATTCACCATTTTCTCATTATTTACCTTATTTATTCTACTCAGTGAGCATGAAATCATTTATTGCGGTCCAACATAAAAAAAATATGATTTGACATAAATCGATTTTCATTGTACATTTAGTTGAGTTATGTGGTAAAATTTCAGACATTTATGGTGAACCATGAGGGAGTAGCAAATCTGGAAATAAATGGAGATAACATGAAAATTTTAAATCCATATCAGTATAAGTGGGTCATTCATTACCCAATGAGAAACATCCTATGTGTACAACTTATTCTTTTTTTAGCCTTAAAGGAACCCATGCTCAATATAAAAGAAAAAAGAAGACCAAGGAAGCACACTTTGGGAGAAAAATCGAATTACACAACAGCCTCTGCTGCAGTGAACTGCTGTGAAACCAGAGGAGAAGAAGAAAAGAAAACCCTAATCCAGCATGATAACAAAAGGAAAAGAAGACCAGCAAGGATTGTTCCGTTGACGAATGGAGACCAACAAGGATTGATTAGGGCAAAGAGGTGGATGTGAGAGCTCAAGAGAAGGGAACTTCCATTGACGAACGGCAACAAACCGGGATAACTCTCTATTTCCTTATTCTCTTTTTTTATTCCATCAATTTTACATGATGAAGATGCGGATTCCTTTGTTTAATTCAGTTTGTATGGAGAGCTAAATTCTATAGGGAAGGTGAGAGAGTTTTATATAGTTTAAGTATGTTGACGGTATGATTTTAGTTTATTAAAGAGTTATGGTTAATGATTTACATGTGTGTTTAATTAGCTACTTTACCTACATAGTTGTTCTCTTATTCGGGAGAAGAGAGGGAACAATGAAATCCTCTTAAATACTCTAGTTTCATAGCAAGGAGACTTGAACAGTAATGGAAGGATTAAGAATAATTCTTCCCCTAGAGCTTTGTTAATAGAAATTACAACGATTATGGAAATAATACCATTCATGACCGTCAGAAGTGGGCTTGAGAATCTATTAAAAGAAACTAAAATCTATCACAAAACTCAACAACTTATCTTGTTTAATTTCTCTTAGTCGAACCTTCTTCATTATAGTTGATTGTCTCATCATTTTCTATTTTTCGACAGTAGTGCACTCTGTTTTAGTTTTGTTTAAGTAATTAAAATCACCAACAACCATTTGAATGTTACCTAAAAACTCACTAAATTTTCCGCTATAAAATTAACCAAAAAGATAGGTTGCTTGTGGAATCGATAATTTATTTATTACTTGCTACTTGTGATAGTGTATACTGGCACTTCATCTTATGAATTTTACATTATTTTATTATATACATCCACAAGCGATCAATATGACACACAATTATACATGAGGTCCCTGCTTATAATCATAACATGATGTATGATTTAAGACAAATCTCCATTTATCTATAACATAATAAGTATGTGAACTTACATAATTCCTATACCATCTTTCACACATAGCATAACTTCCATGACATGATCTATAGGCGTTTATAGATCATAGATTATCTATTTCATAACAATATTATACAATATAAAATGATCCCATCAAAACATAGCTTATCATAGAATAACATGACATAGCATAGCATCACATATCATAAATAGGGCCACGAAGCACACGTCATCATACATAACACAATTCGTTCAACCAAGTCGATAGTAGAGTCATCTACTTGATTATCTTAATTTGGTGTCACTAGTTTTAGATGTGTATTATTTCTAGAAGTTGGGTTATTATTACATGTGTATATTATAACGGGGAGAGAGACGTGTGGGGAGGGGAAGGTAGGTGAAAAGTACGTGGTTGAGCGTGAAGGCTGCTGCTCGACTTGGCTCATGTCATTGAACCTTTACTTTTTCTCCAAAAGCTCACCAGCCTTACCATTTTCCTGGAAATTATATTCATTTACTACAAATAATAATAACCAGATTCAATCTGGAAAAATATAATGGTTGTTTTTTTCCTCCTCGTGGAATCTCGGCCTCAACCTCCTCCCCCGCCTTTATAAATCTGCGTTTTCCCTCTGCTCCTCCAACACCCACTTCCATTTTCGCAGGTTCTCAATACCCATTTCCAAGCACACGCAAATTTCCCTAATCCGACCAACCTTTTTGTATCTCTTCATCCATCTCTGCCGACCATGACGGCTCCACAAGACGAAAATTCTGTCCACAGGTAAATTTGCAGGGAACTTCTTTGTTGACTCAATGCCTTTTTGTTTTTCATTTCGTTTTTCTTTTGATTTCTTCGGTGGTTGTCAATCTGAACCTTGTGCAATTTTCTGATGCATTGTGATGGTGGTGGTGGTTGTTGCGATTTGGGCTTTTTTATTTTATTTTATTTTTTTACTCATTCCTGCGTTTAGATCTGTTTTTCTTATTTGATCTGATTTTCAATGAATTGTCTATGCATTCTTGCGACGATTCTTCATGATCCTGCGATTCTTCTTTTGGAATTGGTGAAAATGAATTTGGTATTTTATTTTAAATCACTGTGGGGCTATAAATTTCTGGTATTCTACCGAAGTTTCATGGAGCACATCCTGTTATATCCCTACTCCAATTTAAAACAAAAGAGCTAGCTGCTTAAACATGATTGTTTTTGTGTACACCCCAAAAGTTTGAAGATATGCATGGTTAGGTAGGAGAACGAAATATTATCGAGCTATGTATTGATTAGGGTGTGAAAACCTCTCCCTAGCCGGCAAGGTTTTAAAAACCTTGAGGGAAAGCTCAAAGAGGACAACATCGGTTAGCGGTGGGCTTGGGATGTTACAAATGGTATCAGAACTAGACACTGGACGATGTGTCAACGAGGAGGCTGAGCCCCAAAGGAGGGTGAACACGAGGCGGTGTGCCAGCAAGGACACAGGGACCCGAAGTGGGGTGGATTTGGGGGTCTCACATCGATTGGAGAAAGGAATGAATGTCAGCGAGGACGCTGGGCCCAAAAGGGGGTGGATTATGAGATCTCATATAGGTTGGGGAGGAGAACGAAGCATTCTTTATCAGGGTGTAAAAACCTCTCCCAAAGAGGACAATATCTATTAGCGGTAGGTTTGGCCTAAAGGTACCCGGTAAAAAAATATATTAAGAACTTAGGAATGCAATGATGTTTTGAAGATTTAACCAAACGTGTGGGCTAAATGGAAACATTTAAAACCATAGGAACCAAACTAAAATGAAACACGAATCTCGGGGACTGACATGATAATTTAAGCTAAAACAGTTTGTATTAAAAGAAACTCGAGCTCGAGATCAAAGTGTTGTTCATCCCAAGTCTCCAGTCAAACACAAGACTACCAAAGTTAACCAGGCTCCTTTCTAGTTTTCCACTGCTTTAATGGATAATGATTTGGTTTGTTGTCTGTTCTGTTCTGTTTTTCTTATTGCTTGCATTGTGTGGAGCCAGGAAATGCCCTCTCGCCGAGCTCGCTCCCGTGCAAGCAGTTCTATTTGATGTCGATGGAACATTGTGTGATTCGGATCCGCTCCATTACTATGCCTTCCGTGAAATGCTTCAAGAGGTTAGTTCTATTTTAATCATGCTATGAGCCACAAATGAGAAGCCAAACATTTATTGAGCAATTGAAAGAATACATTCTCTTTGGATTTTTCCACGGGTTTTTTAAAACGCGTCTGTTAGGTAGATGTTTCCACACCCTTATAAAGAATATTTCGTCCTCCTCCCCTACCGACGTGGGATCTCACAGTAACAGATGATGATATGATTTGTAGATTGGTTTCAATGGTGGGGTTCCAATAGATGAGGAGTTTTTCATTAAAAATGTTGCTGGCAAGCATAACGATGATATTGCCCGAGCACTTTTCCCTGATGATTACGAGCGAGGTTTGAAATTTTGCGACGACAAGGAGGCTATGTTTAGGAGGTAAAACTCTCTCTTCACATCATAGATTACATTTATAGGTCTCATCAGACAATATAACCAAAGAACTTAACGCAACGCAACAGATTGGTTACCGAACAATTAAAGCCTGTGAATGGCTTGTACAAAGTGAAGAAATGGATAGAAGACTGCGGTTTAAAACGTGCTGCAGTTACAAACGCCCCTCGGCCGAATGCCGAGCTCATGATCTCCATGCTTGGTCTTACGGATTTCTTCGAGGCTGTTATCATAGGTGGTGAATGTGAGCATGCCAAGCCACATCCAGAACCGTATTTGAAGGCTCTTGAAGCACTCAAAGTGTCGAAGGATCACACTTTCATTTTTGAGGTCTGCCTTCTTATGAACTACCATTTTCTTTTCCCTGATAGTTTGAGGAGAGTGTTCATAATTTAACCTCTAGACTGCTTTGCATTGCTAGGATTCTGTATCAGGGATCAAAGCTGGAGTGGCAGCCGAGATGCCTGTCGTCGGTATAGCGACGAGAAATCCCGAGCACTTGTTGATGCAAGCAAAGCCTGCCCTCCTCGTAAAGGACTACGACGATCCGAAATTGTGGGCAGCTTTGGATGAACTCGATAAGAGGGGAGATACCATTAACAAGGCATCATCCATGTATCGTGATGAAATGGTTTAGTAATTCAAAGGTATTCTCTCTAGTTCTTGAATAACTTAGCTGTAGAAATGACTGTTGTTCTTCAGCTTTGGCTATTGATACCCATCATAATACAATCAAGATAGGATGGTTAATAGATTAGCCACCATTGTTAATCTAATAATGGTCGTTGGAAGTTACCAGGCTCAATTTTATTTTCTTCAAATAATATTCTACATGTTTTCTAAGACATGTCGTTCGACCTTATGACGAATGGGCTCGTGCCCTCGTAATGTTGAGTTTTTCTTGACGATTAAGCTACTGTTTGGGTTCATTGTATAATTGCATCTGCTTAAACTTCGTAGCGGTTTAAACTCAAACTAATAATTGTATCCATTTATCATATCTATCTTGGGTATGTTTGGATGACTTTGGGTATGTTTGGAATCATGTGGCATAAACTGAAAATTATTTGTTTACAAGTGATTTATTAAAATTAATTTTTATTTAGTTATTCTAATCTTTGGTTTTATGTTGATAGAACATTTGTTTGAGATTTGAATCAATCTACCATCAATGAGTCTAAACATGCCACTAGATTTCAAAGAAATTTAGCCTTTTTACTACATTTTTTAATTACTCTTACAAAAACAAGCCTGACTTTATATAGTCTCAAAAGTCTAAATTGAAAAAGTAAAGCTAATTCTGGTGTAATGTAGCATGAATTGTAAGATAATTTGAACAATATTTTCTTCACATCTTCCTTGATTGACGTCTTGTTCATATCAGTTTCCCTAGAGGACTAAGTTTTGGCACAACTTCAACATTCACAAAAAGAAGTGAGTGGGCGGATGTTCGTAGTCACAATTCGGTAGAATTACCATCAAGACAATGTAACAACTCAAGCAAGAAAACAAACGAGAGGATGTCCTACTGCAGAAATCAAGCGCAAGCAACTTTTGGGACAAAAATTTTTAAGGAGTGGAGAATTTGTATCACCCGAGCACCATTGAGAAATTAAGTACCCAATTTTTTCTTGACCATCTTTGAACATATTTATTTTCTCATGTAGTTGATTATAAATTACAAGAAAAAACATTTGTAAAAATGGATTATAACTCTAACTTTGGCGAAGGAACAAAGTTGATTCGGGTTTTGAATGAGAAACTATGAAAATTGAAAAAATATAGGAAGAAATCGCAAAACTAAACGATTCTGTAAAATTGATTGCACAAACGGATGAAGGGAGGACACGTGTCAGGCAAAGGGGTGGTGAACATGCCTATCTGGGTGCGTGTGCAGCGTGTGAGTCTTTCTTTTTACCCCGTTCAACCTCTGATGGGCTATTTTTCGCTTCAATGATACTAACCCTAATTTTACTTGAATTAAGACATACCAGAGCAAAAAATTTAACACGTAGAAAAGCTAGCTCGAGAAGGCACACATCATCCAAGTAAGTAGCCACACGAACTTTAGGCAAGTAGTAATTATAGGTATCTTAAGCACAAGCTAGCATGTGAGCATTTCTTACCTTAGGTGGTTAAAATATACATGTTTAGGACTCCAAAATACATTTTTGGACTTCAAAATCTATGTCATAAAAATTACCGTTATGCCCCCTTGGATGAGATTACGAGATGCATGTTGATTTTATATTTTCCTCAAAGAGCTAGGAAAAGCAAATGCATGACTAATAATGAGTCCAGCAATATGGACGAGTATGCTTTGTAATATGTAGTAAATTACCAAAATGCCCCTTTTCACTCTGATACCCATATCATCAAGTTCAACTCTGGAACTTGTATCATCGAGTCAAGCAGGAGTTGATTAGGGTTGTGTGACCTGACAGTTCAAGTGGATTACATTGCATTATAAATCCATCTTATGGGGGAACGTAAATCACGCAGGTAGTCCTTAAAGCTAGCACATACAGAGGGTCACTCCCCCGACTTTGGGTGACTATATGTTCCTGTGAAATGAGTTCACCATCTAACCTCCCATGGATGACGAGCAGGCTAGCAAACATCATATTTTCACCATCAAATAGAGTTTTATGAGGTAACACCTCGACCTACGATATCGGTTTCACAATGCATAGGCAAGGTAAACTACCCAAAGTCAAACAGAAGAGTAGTTCACCCAAGAGAACAGACTAGTTGCTTGGCAACGCTAGAAAAGGGTAAACCACCTTCTTCGAACCCAAGGTATGTCTGTGAATAGTTAAAGTGTTGCTTGGAACTTTGAGGCACCCTATATGTTAGATGAATTAAATGAAATATGAACCACTATTGGCTTGGTTTGATGAATTCAATGAAGTTTGAACAAGACGTGCTCTATGGCCCTCCATGTGTTGTATTTTATGATTGTTTGACATGTATTATATTATGTATTTGTGAAAGTATGTTTATGGAAAAACGAATGTATGACCTGCATCATATATTTATATCATGATTAAAAGCTATGGGGACCTGCATCATACCTCATGTGAGTGTACGTGGGCTTCATGAAATGTTTTTATGAAAGGATAGGTTCCACTATGATTGTTTATGTATGCATTTTCCGACCCCAATAGTCGGGTTACTTATTAAGTATTTCGTTACTTTGAATTTATGATATTGTCCACTTTGAGCATAAGTCCTCATGACTTTGCTTTGGGCTTCCCTAAAAGACCTCATATCAATGAATATAGTATTATTTGATTATAAACCTACGATCATTCCTTAAATCAGCCGATGTGGGACTTTCATCCAACACCTCACCTCGAACAAAGTACGCCTCCCCTTAATCGAGGCTCGATTCTTTTTCTTTTGGAGTCTTAGTCATTTTTTTTACTATGCCTTCGAAGAGCCTCGACTCCTTTTCTTTTGGAGTCATTTAGGATTCTATTGACATGATTAAGTTTAGGGCAGGACTCTGATACCATGTTAGATGAACACGACTCTCCACAATTATATGATATTGTCTACTTTGAACATAAGCTCTCGTGACTTTACTGAGTTATATATGAACATATTATGGGCCTGATACCGCTGTATATATGAATGTCAAAATAAAAGATGAAATAATATATATAAATGTAATATATACGCTGAGTTATATTAATTTAATATTATTCGTATAATCATATTACTAAAATACTTAAAATATTCCAATATACATATCATCTAATACTACTTTGCCAATGCATAAACTATTTTCATTGAAATTATAGATTAAATTACAGGTAAATTTGAACGGTTAAAAAATAATAACCGTATTTGCGTTGGTCAATTATCACATCTATTTATTTGATCTGTAAATTTGTAAATAAAATTTTATTTGTGTAAATATATATCGTAAGATTGTGTACGAGTAAAAATAGATTCTTATTCAGAGGAAAAATACGTTTATCTTCGTAGCCAAACACAAGTTCCACGCGCCACACGTGCATTTTAACAGCTAAAGGTGTTAGCTTGACACGTCACGGTGGGACCATATAACTTTATCCAACCCGTTCGGCCGGTGAAGCTAAACACCCCCAATTTTCTGTCTCGGAAAATATAATTATAATTTTATATTTTTAAAGAAAATATATATATTTTTTTTTACTTTCTCCGCTTCCTCGTTCAAGTTTCATTCCTTCTCTCTTTCGGAATGCCACGCCAAACCCTAACCCTAATTTTAATCCCAATTCTTCCAAACCTCCAACTCCAACCCCCTAAATCTTGATTCTTCGTCTTCTATTTTGATTTGGGATTGATATTGTTGTTATTGGTCTTCAATTCCCATGGATTCGCAGCAGAACAATTTGTTTGAAACGGCATCTCAACCTGACACGGGAAATGACGCCTACACATTTCTTGAGTTCAATACACAGGGGGAAGACTTCGATTATCCAGAATTTCGTGACCCAATTAGGTCCCCTGTAGCGTGGCCGACTCCTTCCGATTCGTTAGCCGATCATACAGACCGCGGTGGGGGGTCGGACCACCAGTCTGATGCGTCTCCGGTTTCGGCTGCGCCGGGGAGTGCTACGAAAGGCCGGACTGGAGGTGGTTCGGGGAATAGTGGTGGTAATAATCAAATGGTTGACGCATTGACAGCCGGGATGAGTGGGTTGACGTTTGAGGATGCTGGGGATGATGATAATTATGAGTTTGGGAAGGGGAATTTCACGGAGCATGCTTGTAGGTATTGTGGGGTTTCGAACCCGGCTTGCGTTGTGAGGTGTAACGTACCGTCTTGCCGTAAATGGTTCTGCAATTCGCGAGGGAACACGTCTGGGTCGCATATCGTGAATCATCTGGTATGTTGTTTGGGAGTTCACCATTATGTTGTTATTTGTTTTGGTCTGTGCCCGCCCCGTGGTTCTTCCGTTTATGGAAAATTTCAATTTTTTTTTTTTTTTTTTTTACATAAGAAGAGTGCGGATTTATTTTTCTTTCGTTTGGCGGAAATTCTACGATGATCAATTGCCTGGTAAATGTTCGAAGAACATGTGGAAATTGTTGCGCCTCACATGGAAGTTGTGGGCGTACTATCCTGTTTTCCTAGGTGAAATTGATATGAGAAATGGCGCTCTGTATTTCTTTGCTTGTCGGTTGTTTTTTTTTCAGTGTCGCGAGTGGGGAGTGCTACTTGCACCATGTTGCATGTCTACGTTTTTTTATGCTTTGCTGTATTTTTGTCGATTATATATCTTTGTCATTGTTCAATGTCAGTAATAGTTTTCTTGTTTTTCAGGTTTTAATGGACTTTAAAATTAGATTAAATATAGCTTTATTCTTATGCAGCTGTAGTAGTTAAATATTGGAAGGAAGATGAAACTGGTTTTTGTACTTTTTGCACCTTGAGCATTTTTTGAGGGGTGGAGTACTCGTGTAATGTTCTATGGGAAAATATTAGGTTCAATACCTCCTTATGGGCAGTGACTACTTAGGCCTTTTGTAATTACCAGTGCCTTTCTGTAGGTTTGAGCTCCTCTTGCATGCGGTTTTTTTATGCTTCCAAATTTCTTAATGAAAGCTTGGTTCCTTGTAGGATAATTGGTTTTTGTGTACGTAGAAAATAAAGCATTTTTTTTTACTTTTGATGGTGTATCAACTTTTCATTTATAATTTCTGTAATTTCACGCATAAGTAAAAGCATTTCCTACATAAAAATTATGATTAGAGAACTCACATTAGCTTTTCTGTTGAATGACACAATGATATTAGGTCCGGGCTAA